TTTGAAAAACGATCACTTAAGTGCTAAAATTTTTTAAAAACAATCATTTAAGTGCTAAAATTTTTGAAAAACGATCACTTAAGTGCCAATCTCCGGCGAGCCACGTCAGCTTCATAAATTAATAAAAAAAATGCCACGTCGGATTTCCGACGAAAAATTGTGTACGGCACCGGAGTTGGCACTTAAGTGATCGTTTTTCAAAAATTTTAGCACTTAAGTGATTGTTTTTCAAAAAATTTAGCACTAAAGTGATCCAAAAAAAACTTATGGCACCAAAGTGAGCGCCGTACACAAGTTATGGCACTTGTAGTGTTCTTTTGTCACTGTCTTTCATGAAGTCACAAAATCCGATCATGTCGTAAGCTAACCTTCGGCCAGCTTGTGTCTTGGACATTTACTACCTCTTTTGGAGAGATTACCTAACTTTTGGTATGCTAGTGAAGCTGCGATGATGAGCAAGTACACCTACAGGTGAATTGACTAATTGTTACCCAATCCAAATGTTCTGTGATGTGTGAGAGACCCTTATAATAACTCCTTGGTGTAGCTATGCAGGTTATCTCACCCCACCCTTTTACCAAAAAACCAAAAAAAACACTTACGTTTCTACAATGTGGGTTGTGCATTTAATGAGTACAAGATCAGCTTTGTCCTCGTCAATGGAAAAGAAACTTATACTAAACAAAAAGTCATGCAAAGTACTAAAAGGTATTGTTAACAAGTATCTCTGAAGCACTTATTTCATCAAACTTGCCTATTAAAAAAATTAATTTCAAAGCATTAACTACGCATGTTACGGGAAAAAAAAATAATGTACAGAATACCTTAAAATTTTCTTGTTTGATAGGGGACAATTACAAGGTGAGTCCTTAAACTTGTCAATTCTCGTGCAATTACGTCCGGAAAAACTTGCAACTTCGTTGCACTTTCAGTCCCTCGTTCCGTCAATGGAAAAATCCGAACGAAAGTTTGAAAGCTCAATTGTACAAAGTTGACGAGTTTTAGAACTCGTCCCGCGATTGTCAATTCTCGTGCAATTAAGTCCGGAAAAACTTGCAACTCCGTCGCACTTTCAGTCCCTCGTTCCGTCAATGGAAAAATCCGAACGAAAGTTTGAAAGCTCAATTGTACGAAGTTGACGAGTTTTAGAACTTGTCCCGCAATTGTTTTGGCTTGACTGGTTATGAGCCTCTAGGGGTTAACAAAATCAAGCGCAAGAGTGCTGCCCAATTGTGGCATTTTATGCCGAAAGGTAGGTGGAACATTCTAGATGGGGCTAGAACTGCGTGGGGATCTAAAATTCCACGGATGGTTTCTGTGGGTGAAAAAGGAAAATTCTTACAAAAAATAGATGATGGCTTCAGACCCCGAGTCAAAGAGAGAGCTCGCCCAAAGTGACGTTGGCACGTCCGTCACCTCACCTGAAGAGTCAAGAGTCAAGACTCCAATGATGACCATGGGATCCGAGATACAATGCGAATTCAATTCCTTTTTATCTATCCAGCAGAAGTTCAAGATTTGATATTTTCTTATATTGGGTGAGGGCGGTCCAATGAGTGAATCGGGTCGAAAACAGTCTTGGTCAAATCAACCCATTTAGCTTGTCAAAAAAAATATCAACTTATTTAATCTGTTTTAACCCATTTATATATAATATGATTTAGTAACCCATACCCAATACATGCTCGACCCGATCTATATTACTGCATAGATATTTTTAAAAACAAAAACTTGGTGTAGTATGCGTGTATTGCATAAAAGATAAAAAATTTTAGTAGTTTCATAAGGTTTCAAATAAAATTTTCGATTTGTTTGCAAATTTTTAACACGTATAATCATATACTGATTTTCACGACTTTCTAAAGCTTAAAAGATCATAAATTTTCTATTGTTTTTCAATTTTGAAAAAAAAAACGATTTTAAAGATCAAACTAGAAAATAAGTTCCCCTACCCGGAAACCCAAAACCTGAACCTAAAGACAAGTAAAGAGGAACTGCAGGTGGGTTGGACTTTAGATCCATTAAAAACCCACATTTTATTAGACTTAATTACTCAAATCATATCAACCCATTTAACAAAATTTAGTTAACCCATATATGACCCAACCCATCATATATGGGTTCATAAATTGGTCTTCAACCCATTTTGACATCTCTATATTGGGTCAATATCAGAAAATATTTTAGATTGATACATCCATGCTACATGTACTCTAACTTAGTTTTCGTATTACATAAAATCTCAAATTGGTATACTTGTGTCACATTAACCAACTAATTTTTAGTAACAAAAAATGTCAAATTGATATAGTCGTGCCATAACTACCCTAATTTTACCCTAAGATTTGGATAGATTTGTTACGAATATAATAGTTTGGGATTTGGTGACGCAAAAATTTGTTGGGGTAAATGTGGTGCAAAAATTAATTTGGGATAAATGTAGTACATATGTATTAGTTTAAGATTTTTTGTGATATTGACTTGTCTTTTAGGAGCTGAAAAGATGGAATGTGCGACCAGCATTGCAACCTTAATTTACGCAAGTTCCACCTCGTCATGGAATATAAGATTTTAGTCATTATAATATAATCTCCTAGGAAGGTTTTACAAAAAGGAAAAAATATTTAATTTATAATACGAGTCTCATACTTGTCTGCCCTAAAATATTCAATTCGAGTATTAATACTTAATCTGCTGGGAAGTCGGTTACATAGGTAAATTAAATGGATAATTATATTACTTAAAAAGTTTTAGTAAGATCTTTTTTTGTTGCTAAAACAGTTTTAGTAATGATTAGCTTGTTAACACACTCAATACAACAATATTATATTACTTAAAAAGTTTTAGTAAGATTTTTTTTTGTTTTTTTGCTAAAACAATTTTAGTAAGGTCTTTTAATTGGGATGAGTTTCGTCCATGCAAACTTAACGAAGAAGAAATTGATGACGTCCACGTTCTCTACCTACTACTAATCAAAAGATGGAGGAAAATATGCATCGATGTCTCCATGTAGAATTGACCCCATTATTCTTTTTTTTTTCTAAATTGTTTAAGTTGACCCCAATAGAATTTTAGATTTTTATTAAGGAGAAGAGGGGGGGGGTGTTGAGATGGAGGAGATGAGGGTGATTTTTAGGTTCCTGGAACCTAGAACCTTCCATGTTGAAATTAGTTACTTAATTTTTTTAACTTGAAACCTATTATGCCTAGTCTGAAATATAAAACCAATCGTATCAATTGGTTCTAAGGTCTATTCAGGAACTGGCTAATTTTCTTTTTTTTGTTTCGTTTTTAGTTAAGCAAAATGAAAGTGAACGCCACAATAAAAATCATCATTTATCAATAGCAACAATCCATAAAAGATGAACACGTAAAATAAAATAAATAATAAAAAGTTCAAAACGTGTAATCTCTATTCATCGGTTCCCAGTTCCCGGTTTGGTTCTTTGGTTCCCAGTTCGGTTCTTACCGAGGAACCGGGAATCGAACTGCACAGTACTGGTTCTGCCATTTTTGGAACCGGTAACTGCGGAAATCTGGATCCGGACCGGTTCCTATGGCCATTTCAATTCGATTCCCGGTTTTAGCTTGGACCCATTCTCAACCTAGGGGGGCATGGCAGCTTTTATTCCGAGCGTAATCTTTGACGCAATCAATGTGACCATATTTTAACCTTGAAAGCCCAAATTAAATCAACAAAGAGGCCCAAAGATGGAAAACCCTATATTTTCTTTTTAAGTTTAAAGGAGGATAAGCAAATATACAAGTGACTCTTAAGAACCAACCTCGAACTTTGCCTCCTATCACAATTCCCACTATCTAAATACAAAGCCTACCCTCAGAATCATTTAGTTTCAAAACCATCCGCTTACTCATGAGGTGTTCTCTTTGTCAATGTGGTGATTTGCCTTATGTTAGAATGGAAAATCAAGTTATGTCTATCCACGTATAAGTCAGGAAGTGATTATCGAACGTGTTCGGCGACCTTCTGGGATAGACTTGCATATGCTATTAATAGGCACCTCAAAAACGCTCACATCTGAACGAGCGGACGACACATGCTTAAGAGCTATCACAATTACCTTCCTTAATACCACTGAGGTGGTTGGCCTGATAAGACTTACTCTCATGCGGTTTATAGCCCTCTTGGTCACAAGTTCGAATCTCTCGGTTAATCTTAAATCGAGGAATCCCGGTTCGTCTATGCTCTAGATTAGACTTGTATATCAAGCATATGATAACTCCGGTTTTATCTCAACTTGATGTGGTGGCGCAGCAGTAACAGGCTCGCAAAAATTGAGCAAGAACTGCTACTCGAACCGAACATTCTGGCCGTGGTTATGGCGCTACGGTGGTAGCGCTCAGGAAGCGTCTATGCTGGTGGCCCCTTCCCGCCCATCTTGCTAATAATCAGAAAAACACCTTCCTCAATGATAAATCAGTTGCAATTATTGCAATAATCAATTTTGCTCTTGGGCCTTCTAATTTAATAGTTTCAGTTCCTTCCTATTTGTACCTACAGGTGGCTCTGAAGAGGGCTTGCTGAGTAACTTACGTGAGGGCCATTCTTCTTCTTTTCATCCGAACGGGTCAAGAGGAAATCGTAGCGAACATCATAACGGAATCAGTCTTTGATCATGCACACGCGTAGCCGACGGAGAAATTCTCTCTAGGAAGCGGTTCTCTTTTCGGGGATGTACTGTTTCTGACGTCTCCAGACGCTGTTTGCCGCCTCTGTTTATTCGTTTCTAACGCTGTGCATCGGAGAGCTCGGCTCGGCTCTGTTTCTCTCCTGTTCGAGAGTCCTTCGCCGGCGCTGATCTTCATCGCTGGCGCACTGAGGCCGAGAGTTGTAGAGTTTTCGCCAGTCAGCGTCGATCGTCAATCTCAAGAGGGCGCGGAACTGAGGGAAATTATTTTTGTTTAGATTTACTGCAGAGAGAGAGAGAGAGAGAGAGAGAGAGAGAGAGAGAGAGAGAGAGAGCACGAGAGAGGAATGCTCGAACACAAAATTTTCTTTCGTCGAACCAAGTGCGAGAGGCTACGAGAACACCCGCCATTTACAATCGCTAGCATTTGCAGACAATCGCGTTCCACCGCTAGCCGCCAGAGTTACGGATTCAGAGAAAGAGAGGTTCATACACATCCGTCATAGAAGCGAGAGCCAAAAATCTTTTGGATCGAAAATTCCCTTCGTCTTTGAGCTTTCTCCATTGATGCCTCGGACAGATGTTTTTGAAATTCTGGTTCTCTGTTTGAGGCACCGATCATCGTCGTCTTCAGTTTCTAAATGCTGTTTTCACTATGTTTCACAGGTTCATCGTTTCTAAACGCTCTCCGAGGCAACGATCATCGTCGTCTTCTGTTTCGAAGCCTCAATTGCAATGCTCTGTTTTGGCTCTGTTTCGCAGCCATAAAGCCTTGAAGTAATTGGACTTTGCTCGATCCTACTTCTGCAGTGTCAAACGCCGGCGACTAAGTTTGGAAATTCTGGTTCTCTGTTCAATCGGGTGTTCCTGGTCATTGCATTTACCAGGTACGAGTATTCTTAATCCAATATGGCTAATTGAGTTTGATAAATGTGGTTGAGGCTCATGCGGAATTCATCTCTGGTTAAAAGCTTTATCAATGTTTCAAATGGGTATTGATACTGTAGTAACCTGATACCTATTCTTTTCCTTATATGTGAGTGGAAGTTCATTGATCGAAGTGCGTGCCAACTAATTGAGGAAATGTCCGAGTGAAATTATAATGCATGTTCTCCAAAGGAAACAAGTTCAATAGCCATTTCGTTCCATGTTTTACTTCTTGCAATATGATTGCTGCATTGTCATGTATGTATATATCATTTTTCCATGATTAAGCCGAGAGCCATATCTTGTTAACCCAACTATAACCCGACTCGTCAAAACCATGTTACTTCCAGTCATGCATGAATCGATTCATGTTATATGTTGATTTAACAATTGATATGGAAACCGTATTTCGTAGCTCTCAAATTACCATAAACAAGACCGACCAATCGAGTCATTGCTCATGTGGTTGATTTTGTTTTCATATTAGATATGTTGATTACATATTTAAAGAAAAGCAGCTTGTTCAAAAACCAAGCCTCAGAATTTGGAGCACATCCATGATGTCGTTTGGCTGTCGGATATGAGGGAAAGTAAGGAAAATCTTGAATATCTAAAAGAGCCGGACCAACCACTCATAGTAAATAAAAGTAACACCAATGATGAGATTCAAGAAGCTCTCAAAGAATTGATGGATGTATGTTTGCTTTTCTCATCCTCTTTTTATAGCCATGTTTTAAAATTTAACACAAGTTTCTCTTGCGGCTATATACCCACTGATTGAGTGTCAATTGACTTACTTTACATGTGGCCTAATTCCAAAAAAAACCCCAAACTTTACACTTTGTCCCAATTATACCCTGAATTTTTTTTTTGTCTCAAGAAAAACCTCAAACTTTTCTCCTAGTCCCAAATCTACCCTACCGTTATAACTCTGTCCAATTAACGTCAGAAATTAAAAAAAAAAACAGAACAGCAGCTGTGGCGTGGCCAAGCCTTCGCCGGTGGCCGCCGCCACGGCCGCCGGAAGGAGCGGCGGCCCTCGCCGGGCCTTCCCGAAGGCCGGCGACCCTCGCCGGCCCCGGCGAGTCGCCGCCGCGAGGGCCTGCAGCCCCCGATCCGGGGCGACTCGCCCTGGGCCTCCCGAAGGGCGGCGACCCTCGCCGGCCCGGGCGAGTCGCCGGCGAGGGCTGCGGGCCCCGATCCGGGGAGGCGCGACCCTCGCCCCGGATCGGGGCTGCAATCCTCGCCGGCGAGGGTCGCCGGCCTTCGGGAGGCCCAGGCGAGGCCTCGCCTGGGGTCGGCGGCCTCGCCCGGGCCTTCCCGAAGGTCGGCGACCTCGCCGGCCCCGGCGAGTTGCCGGCGAGGGCCTCCAGCCCCCGATCTGGGGCGAGGGTCGCCGGCCTTCGGGAAGGCCCAGGCGAGGGCCGCCGCTCCTTCCCGGCGGCCGTGGCGGCGGCCACCGGCGAAGGCTTGGCCGCAGCTTCTGTTCTTTTTTTTTTTTTTTTTCCGCCGTTAATTGGACGGAGTTATAACGGTAGGGTAGATTTGGGACTCAGAGAAAAGTTTGAGGTTTTTCTTGAGACAAAAAAAAGTTCAGGGTATAATTGGGACAAAGTGTAAAGTTTGGGGTTTTTTTTGGAATTGGGCCCTTTACATGTATTAAAAGACACATGTAGTGATCCCGAGGTTGACGGCAACATCCAACCGAAGTCGACCAAGGACTTTGATCCTCCAGCTAAACTGCTCTCAAACAAGTGTACCTTAAAATGCACCATCGCGGACTCCATTACCTCTATTTTACTTGGTTTTGGTAAGTCCTCTCTCTCTCTCTCTCTCTCTCTCTCTCTCTCTCTCTCTCTCTCTCTCTCTCATGTTGTGAAGTATGGGAAGACTTGCCCCATGTTCGTCCATGAAGTTCGGAAATATATCTCTGAGAATCAATTTTCCTTACATTAAATTAATCTCTTGCAACTTAATTCTAGTGCAAAATAATTAATAATTAAGCTATATCTTAGTCATTGCACTTTCTTTTTCTGGCTTTATAACCGATAAAAATAATAGATTTATTGCCAAAGGTCATTTTTTTATGCATTAAAAATGAAAAAAAGAAAAAAAATTACTTAATTTCGAAAACATCATCTACTTTTTTTTTTGGCCAGGCAAGTTAATTTCAGATAAAGTCCATTGCACTTATTATTTCTCATCATTCTTATATTATAATCATATATAATTGGAAAATAAATTCAAAGAAAGAAGGAGGAAGATAGGGCAGATAATATTTTCTTTTATTTTTTCAATTTCTTGTATATGGTTACTATTTACAAGGTAACATTTTGATGATATATAAGATTTTTTTTTTTTGAATTTTGGCAGAAATAGCAGTGATAAGCGAGGCGATGCCATAGGTAAAGGAGCTAAAGATAACCGATGAGCAGTTTAAGGTCGTGACAGGGATCCTCAATTTGTTCTTGCTCCTCGGGTTGGTGATTGTAGGGAAAATATCCAACTGGATGAGCCGCCACGATCCAATTGGCGAGACCCATTTTCTTCTTCGGGTCCCTCCTCATGGGCTTTGCCTGTGACTTCACCTTCTTACTATTGGGCCTCGCCATCGCTAACATTAGCGTTGACGTCACCCTCATGATCGCCTCTGACTGCTCTCACTGCTGCTTCACCTCCTTCCCTAGGGCACTAAGTCTTTTTCTTTCTTTTTTTCCATCAATTTTGTAGCATCTTTTTCATTTTTCTATTTGTCATTAATTTTTATATTATTTATGTTGAACATGCAATCTTCTTATTTCGGGACAAATTAAAATTAGAAAGGTGATTGTTGCTTATACATCGTTTCGATGGTTTAGTTGTTCATCAACGTCGGCACTTTCGTTGGCTACATCTTCATCTATGCCTTCTCCAAGCTCCACTTCAACCTCGGGTGGTGTGTCATGCTCAGCAAGGGAGCAATCTCCTCGGTCTTGCTCATCATTGGGGTTCTCGTCATGCTAGAATCCCCGGTGGCTCATTATGTAGGGCCGCCTGGGCGACACGAAGCGCTTCTTCGCCAGGATCTTCGACTCCAAGGAGGAGGTCACGCTCCGACTTGCCTCCGCAGCCTGTCCTGCAACCATGCGGGCTCTACATATTCGTTACTTATTTTAACATGTCAATTCCCTTACGCCCTATCCCCATGTTGAGATAGTATCTTTGTCTAGCCCCGTTCTCAGCTCTATCCTCTATGTTCTTAACGTCCCAAGGTCCAGATAAAACCTTTTAAGGACATGCTTTGGGACATGTTTTGGTCCAAGTTGTGTGTATATTTACATCTCAAACATTTTACTTGCTTACTTCGAGAAGGTCCGCACAAAGAGTCTCAACTTGGTCATCATATGCATATGCTCCAACACGAAGAGGCTGCCTTTAGAGACATCTTCCTATTCCATTATGATTAAATCGAACAATCGAGACGAGAACCAGGACTCAGAAATGCACCCATAATGTAAACAAGAAAATAAGACACAAAGAGGAAACTTGTAATATGGCTCGTGTAAAACGAAAAATTTACAGTCCACTCAGAATCTAAACTGGCAAGAAAGGGTATACCTTGCCAAGTATCCACGTTGCCTCTTAGGTATTCGTCCTCGATAGTAACATGCGTAAGCGAAGTTGAATTGAGCAATGTAGGATCTAAGATAACGATCAAGTAAAGCTTTTCGTAATGTAGTAAATTTTTCATGTGTCGCTTCCGTAGCCGAGCAATTTCATCGTTAGCAAGCCTTGAAGCCTACATATACTCGTATTGATACATCATATCCAGCTAAGATAAAAATGTTAAAAGCTACAGTTAAACGAAAAACCAAAAGTCAAACATTTCCTTGTGTAGAAAGAAGAATGTAACGGTCACCCTTGAGCTATTACAATTCTAATTGATTTATACGTTTCCACAAGGGGTAAGCACGGTTCTAGGATAGAATCGAGAATAGGAGAACCGGCCGGTTCTCCTATTCTCGATTCTAGGGAGGAAAGTTCCGGTTCCCGGTTTCACTTTTTTAGGAACCGCTGGTTCCTAGTTCGGCTCATGGTTCCTATAGGAGCCAAACCGAAGCCATCATAGTGTGATGGAAAGAATCACCACTAGATGGCATCCACATTAGCTAAAATGGAAACTAAGTAATTGCTGAATGCTAATTCAAAGCAGGGCTCATCCAGAAGAGGACATGGCAATCAGTAAAACGTAAACTTCGAAAAAAAAAATCAGTAAAATGTACACAAACTTCTTTCCTTGCACGAAGGAAGTTCACGGCACAAACGCAAAGCTATTATAAAAGGGGGAAAAAACCACCAAAAACCCCAAACTTTCTCATTTGTGACACATTTACCCCGAACTTTTTTTTGTGACACCAAAAACCCCAAACTTTGTTATTTGTGACACATTTACCCCAATATACATTGTTCATGAGCATTTTCGTCTTTTTAGCTTTTTCTTTTTCTTTTTACTTTTTTTTTCTTTCCGGCGAGGGGGGCCCTCGTCAGATCCGGCGAGGGCCACCCTCGCCGGCGTCGGGCAGGGCTCGCCCTCGCCACGCCCAGAGGAGGCGAGCCCGCCCGACGCCGGCGAGGCTCACCTCGCCGGGCGAGCGAGGGCGAGGCTCGCCGGCGTCGGGCGCCGCGTCGGGCGAGCCTCGCCCTCCCTCGCCCGGGCGGCGAGCCTCGCCGGCGTCGGGCGGGGCTCGCCCTCGCCTCGCCCGAGCGAGGGCGAGGCTCGCCGGCGTCGGGCGAGCCTCGCCACGGCTGGGCGAGGGAGGGCGAGGCTCGCCCTGGCCTGGGCGAGGGGGGAGAGCCTCGCCTTGGCCTGGGCGAGCGAGGGCGAGGCTCGCCCGACGCCGGCGAGGCTCGCCCTCGCCTGGGCGAGCGAGGGTGAGCCCTTGCCGGAAAGAAAAAAAAAGTAAAAAGAAAAAGAAAAAGCTAAAAAGACGAAAATGCCCATGGACAATGTATATCGGGGTAAATGTGTCACAAATAACAAAGTTTGGGGTTTTTGGTGTCATAAAAAAAAGTTCGGGGTAAATGTATCACAAGTGGAAAAGTTTGGGGTTTTTGGTGGTTTTTTCCCTATAAAAGGGAAGAAAGATTCGACCAAAAAAAAAGAAAAGAAAGAACCATTACACGCAAAACACTGCTCAAGATCACTAGTTATTAAACGGTTAAAAATAAAAGATAGAAAATAGAGAAAAATAAAATAATAAAAGAATCATAAAAGAATTAAAAATCTGGATATAATAAAGGTTGGGTCGGATCCGGTTAACTGAGCTGGGCCGGGTTAAGAGATAAAGTCTGGGCTTAGAATTCATGGGCTGAGCGAAATTGATATTAAATTTGGACCTATTCGGGCCGGGCCTAGAGGCCGGTCGTAACTCAAACCCAACCCGGACCTTTAGGGTCCTGGTCAGACTAACAAGGGTTGGGTCTCCCTGATCCTGTCCAAAGTCCATTTTTCCAGAATTAATTAATTTTTTTTATAGAATATAAAACTAATACGCATAAAAATATTTTAAAAAATCAGAAAAATTTAAAAAAATTTGGGAAAAGCTAAAAAATTAGAATTCACCTAGTTAGAGCTTTTAATAAACAATTTAGGTTTAGACAGAATTTGATTCGAATTTTAATAAGCCTTTTGGGCTTTATAATAAGGTTTTTGATGCTTTTTCTTTTAGAGACAATGCTCGATCGCTGTTTATGCAATTTCATTTTGATTTTAATTGATTGCGCATTTTCAATACATTGATTGTTGTTCTCCTTTTTAGAATGGTTAGGTTAAATCATTAGGACCATAATGAACACAAACATTGCATGGAGACTTAGTGGATGAAATCCTTAGGACTCATAATTGGTAAAAACACTGCCTAGTCACTTTAGTGAACAAATAATCAAGTTTAAATACCAAAAGGACATTAATTAAATTGATTAATGTAATCAAGTCCTCATTCCTAAAATCTCCAGTTACGCATGCATCGAGATGACACTCCCGGGTCTTGATTATGATTTCCAGCCGATCCTCAATAATGGCTAGTGGCGACTCCTATTGCATATATAGACTAGAAAACCAATGTCATGCGATATATGGGCTTGGGACAGCGCACGCTCGGAATTAATGGACTGTTTTGTATTACCTATTAGACTATGTGTTCGAAATTTGGATCGTCTTTCGAGTAAGTAACTCTAAACCTATTTGCCGAGGGCAGCCCCTCGAAGGGTAGGTCGCAACATTGCCGATGACATTGGAGGAGCTCATGAAGCACTTTTCTTCATCCATAGGAACCGCCTCGAGCGATCATCGTTGCTGTCTCGGCTCCTCCTTCCGATCAGTTCTTGTCTTCCTCCTCCTCCTCTAGGGTTCTCTTCATCGACCTCTAAAGATGGGTCCCAATTGATTGATCTACGCAATTCTTCTCCCATGGAGGATTAGGACGGGATTCTCTTGGGCAGCCTCAGTGTCGTCTCCGCCAATCCCGAGGACATCGAGCGCAATGTTCCATCTGAGGCCATCGAGGAACGCTGCTTGTCTTCGCCTCCCAACCCACCAACCCCATTCCCTTGTTCAATTCCGTTGAATCTCTTTTGCAATGGATTGGGTTGCATTTCCGTTCTTGTGACACTAAAGGACGGTAGTGTTAGTTCGGGTCGTGATGAGGAGAATGCATGGTCTTCAGTTCCAAGTTCATCATTTGCCACTTCTTTTGGTTGCTAGGATTTCAAGTTGCCGACTCTATGAGCCAACTGGCGTTAGCCAGTGCGAAAGCTCGATACTTGTTATGTTTTCGATTACATAGCAAGGGTGCACATGAAGTGTTTGACGAAAAGGCAAACACAAATAATAAAACACAGCTTCGGAATTGCTTGCTTTTCTTGCTTTATTTACTAATTTTTTATTATGTTAATTTACTTTTTTAATTTGATGTGAAGTTTTTATCCTATTAACATATACACATGTGGGTTAAATGGGTGAGCAAGGGTATTCCTCGATTGAGTTGAAAATTAATATGTTTTGGTAATATTGGTCAGGTCGAGTATGGGTCATGAAATTTACATTGCATGGAAATGATCAAAACGGGTTAAATTGGTCAATATGGATCGGATCATTTTCAATCCTACCCAAACCCGATTCAACCCATTCATTTGACGCCTCTAACACGATGCTTTTTCATAAGAAGATTTATCACGATAATTGGGATAATTGCGAGTGCTATCAAAGATTGATCTTGGACAAGCCCCTAACATCTATTATTGGTCTTTCTAGGATTAATGTATTGGTCACTGACAGGTTATGATTGGGTTGACTGCATACCCCGCCTTCTTTGTTGATTTTGAGGCCTAATGCGAGACTCGCATCTAAGACGCATTGATGTACAATGACAATATATTGAAAGGTGTTTTTGCTATATATCTATTAAACGTGTATATGTTAGATCTCCTTATGATCTATTGATAAGGTTCCGTTTGTTTCGTGAGAAATAAATAATTTTGAAAATATTTTCATAAAAATGATCACTTGGATAGATCGAAATAATTAATCAATGAAAAATATTTTTATTATCGATAATAATTTATGTCTAAATATTTTCATGGACTATGAAAATATTTTTCGTTGATTTATTTTTTGTAGGCAATATGAGCAATCATTTTTCAGAAAATGTATTTTAAAGTATTCATTTTCTATGAAACTAATGTACCCTAAAAGGAATTCTTGCAAAAAATTTTTGAAAATATTGATTTGATCGCTTTCGCCTAAATTTTCTATTAGAAAAAGGGAAGAAAAAGGGTAGAGCACTATATATTGATTAGGTCGTTACTATTAGTAGGACCATTCT